ATTATTGATTTTAAAATAATATTTGTTTAAGTTTATCCATATATTTACAATTTCTTCCTTATCATTACTTCTTAGGATTTTTTGGCTGCCTAGATTTGACATTCGGCATTTTTCAACAATGGTGGAATAATTCTTAGAAGTTATCTCTTCAATGCTTCCTCCCAATTCTCTGTATTATCTCTGTCCAATTCCAGTTAGGCTTTTTGTAGATTTTCTTCCTCTCTTTTTCATGTATCTTAATCCTCTTTCATCTACGATGTTTGACTCTTTGAATTACATTGTGGATTTCTTTGGATCTTTCTTTCAATTCACTATCACTTCAGATTCATGTAGGATAATGTACTTCAGGAATGGTCATGAAGTTTAAAGTCTACCTCTTTATGATTAGTTTAATTTTCAAGCATGTATATTTTGTTTATCTTTATAGTAGTTCTGATATTAAAATAGCTAAAGCACAGAGAGGTTTAACAATTTAAGTTCGTGATCATTGGAAAGTCTGAGACCAAAGCTAACGTGAATCAAATGCTTATCCTATTTTCTACAACTGAGATTTGGATAGTTTTGCAGTTTATTTTATTTTATTTTTTTTCCTTTTTCTGTGTCCGGCAACGGATCACAACCCTCAGTGTTGCCCCCGTACCGGACCGGGACTGGCAACGGGATCGCAACCCTCGGTGTTGCTCCCCTGCCTCGCTCAGCCAGTGAGCGGGAACCGGTCTGTATGTGGGATCCGAACCCTCGGGCGGGAGCGCCGCCGCGCTTCCCANTGGCTGAGCGCGGTGCGGCCGGTCTCAAAAAGGACAATAAATAAATAAATAAATAAATAAAATTAAGTAATTCTGTTCTCATTTATATTTATACAAACCCCCAAGTGCTGACTTATTACAAAATCTTGGGGATTGTTTTTATTTATTTATTTATTTGCCTCTATTGGTAGGGTCAAGACAGGTAAGTTGGTGAATTTCCTTATCCCTTTATACAGTATGGGAATTAGAAATAATTTTTTTAAACTTTTACTTTGAAATATTTATAGATTCACAAGAAATTCTGGAAAAAAAGGGGGGAGGGAGGGGGAGTCCTGTGTGTCCTTCACCAGTTTCCCTCAGTGGTAACTTCTTGCATAACTATAGTACAAGATGAAGATCAGGAAATTGTCATAAATACAATACACAACCATATTCAGATGTTACTAGTTTTACATGCACTTGTTTGTGTTTGTGTGTGTGTTGTTCTATGCAATTTTGTCATATGTTCATATTTGTGTAATCACCACCACAATCAAGATACAGAATTGTTCATCACCGCAATGCTCTCTAGAAGGGCTGTTTCTAATTCACACTTTCACTGTTGGTGACACCTGCTGACCCCAGCTTTATGTAAAGAGTCTCCTATTAAATAGAAACCCTGAGCTTCATCTCCTCCTGTGCAGTTATCAGAGCAGAAAATTAGTATCTGCAGGATTTAGCAGAAACTATAAGATTAAAAGCTTCTTTTTGCTTATTTATCGGGATTCCTGGTTTCACTTTGTTTAGAGGACTTTGCAGCTTCTGTTGCTTGGTACCAGCTCTGGGATGTATTTGAAAAAAGTACTTTTTTAAAATTTTCAATGTATTTTAGTTGTTTTAGCCAGGAGGTTCATTCAGAGTTTCTAATTTGCCATATTTAGAAACACAGGTGACACTGGAGATGTTAAAGAGCACTTATCTTTATAGTTTTCATTGTAGTTTGTTCATAATTAGAGAACTGGATTTTGCTTTTTCTTGGCGCATCCGTGATTAGTTGGGGATTAGATAAGCTATTCAGATTCATGTAGGATAATGTACTTCAGGAATGGTCATGAAGTTTAAAGTCTACCTCTTTATGATTAGTTTAATTTTCAAGCATGTATATTTTGTTTATCTTTATAGTAGTTCTGATATTAAAATAGCTAAAGCACAGAGAGGTTTAACAATTTAAGTTCGTGATCATTGGAAAGTCTGAGACCAAAGCTAACGTGAATCAAATGCTTATAGAAGTAACATTAAGTTTGGTGGAAGAAATGAGAGGACAACCATTTTTTTAATCGATTATCATGGTGAATAGGACAAAAAAATTCTTTTAGGGACAGTGAA